AAGTTGCATCACCTCTAATGAACTGGCTACTGACGAAATCCCAATAAGAAATGCCCAGTTGGTGTTGGTCAACTTATATCACGTTTGGTTACGGCAAGATAACCGACTGTCTGTCAACGGATGAGTGTAGATCACACTTGTGTTATGATCCTTACATGAAAGATACTGAGGTGAGGCAGAGAATACTGGGTAAGTGAGCGAAATCCGTCCACAGGAGTGTTGGCGTTAACTAATTAAGGTGGCTTTAATGTATGTTTCACATGTTAGCTGGATTCCATAATCACTGGAGAACAAGCCTAAGAGATAGTGGTTAAAAAGATTGGTCACACTCACCTACTCTTTTTATATGGATTTGAAGTCTGATAGCTTAAAATGACCAACTACTAAGAACCATCTTCAGTTTAGCTTATCTTTATCTGTCTACAAATATGCTGATACCTGATGCATGCGTATAGCATAAATCTGTAAATGTATTGAGGAAATGAATCGAATGGAACCATGGAAAGAGAAATAGCTAGTGGACAGTTGGCGGCAGTCGATAGCAACTCCTGTTCCATATACATTCTTGTTGCCACACGTCAGCAAGGTATATTTTTCACCTCCCCTGAAAGGTTAGAACCCACATCATCCAGGCTATGTCCCATACAGTAAAACAGTCTTATTGTTTACTGGATAACGTTTCGAAGATGATTTGCTTTTCGTATTCATATCAAAAGTAACTAATTGACTCCACATATATCACATCCTGTCTTTTTTATGGTTCCATTCGATTAACAAAGCTTCAGTTACCAGCATCTTTCTCTTTCTTGCTTCATGGGTCAGTTTCAAGGACTGTCACTCTGTCCCATCCTATTGTGTATCTGAACAATAATTTCTTTTCGAAATATCAATCGGTAACTAATAACAGTGGTTCACTGTGGCGAATATCCAGCACCAAACCTGAAAGTATAATTAGTCACTACCCCAGCGACTACGTTCTACTGTCACAACAGTGAGGCTTTGTAGACACCGTTACTAAGTTATTGTTTCCCTGAGATAGAAGGATTTCGTTGTTATATCATTTGAAAAGTGGAAAAAGTGAGTCTTCTCACAGGAAAAGTGTTATTGACCATAAAATTTATTTGTTTATTTTAAAAGTCATTTTACTCATAACTTAACTGACAGTATTATTATATAGCTCGGTTCAAGAGTATTCGATTGACCCCTCATCCATTTATCCATGAATTATGGTTAGGAAGTAATTTTATGTCCTGTGAAATCAACCAATCCATAATTTCGTACAATCTCATTTAATTTGTGCTTGAAATTAATTGGTTGTTTTATCCGTATGATTAATGATGAGCTGTAGTCAAGTAATTTACGAGTGGCTTTAAATGCCATCCTAGCAACTGATGGGACAATCAGTCACATTTATTTATTCTATGAAAAATTGTCTTGCGAGTCAAAATACTGTGACCTGATTGGTTATTTTGTTAGTTGTTAGGGTGGCCTGTAAAGTCGCCCGTTGTGGCTGATCAGATTGGCCAGTCGAAATGAGGGACTAACCTTGTGGGTGGAATGAATTGAGTATTCGTGAATGGGCGTGCCAGTATATTCGAGACCAATCATGTTCAAGATCAGGGTTAAGACTGAATCGACAGAATCACGTACTTTAGACAGTCATAACCAGATAAATTTATAAGAAATTAAATATGAGGTTAACTCAGATATATAACGTACGTAATCGCATATTCGTTAGTCAAAATTAAAAGTTTTTTGACGGTACTGACTGAACTTCACATGTTCTGGTTTGAAAATATTTTACGATATGACAACAAACAACATTTAGATATCCTTTGATCAAGGGTTGATCGGATCAGAGAAACACATGAACGATAGTCGCATCTAGAAAAATTTATTCAAAAGTTGAACATATATCATATCGAATCAGGCTTATAATTAGTTCGACGAATGTATTTATTCAGTCTTTCTCACTAACCATCGTCACCATCACTAAGAACAACAGAAAAAGACTAGACAGTATAAGTACTTAGAAATCACTTCTGCTGGTCTGTAGATTCTGGCAGCCAGAGCAGAGTGGTCGAAATACCGGAGGGCCGTTCGCTCGTTTGTTGCCAAGCCCATCAGCCATGGTGTCCCCGGAGAAGTTTAGGTCACGCAGAAGCCAATCTATTCAGATCATCTGAGTCTGGACTGGTAGGTGGTTGGTTAGCTGACTTGGACGACACCACAGTTGGCTGCAGAGTTGAGAAACTTCTCAACTGGGACAACTGTAAATGTGGACAGTGAAACCTGTAAACTATTTGCAAACTGACAGTGCAAACTTTTGTATAGATTTGTGGCAATCCACAAATTGAGGAGTAACAGAGATGTAGAACCATAAGAAATAATCAGACTGTAACAGAAAACCGTGTCATAATTATATTACTTGGAGAAGGTGTACAGTCCCTTTGGGTGACAGATGTTAGTCGATAAATAATTTATTTTCATTTACTACTTCGTTTGAATTCAGTAGACAGTCTGTAAAATGCAAAATAATGGGATGTCAATTTGATGGATTGAAGATAAATGACTTAAGAATACGAAATCATTTAAAGTCCACTTTCTTGTGAGAGAATATTTACCATATTCTTTAATCAGTCATTCATCAATCAGCCAGACTTCTATAAGCACCAAAAGAAAAGTTTTATTCAGCGTGAGAATAATGAAGTCTCCATGAATCACACTGTCGTTGTTACTACAAAGAGGCAATAGCAGTCTGTTAGATGGTTTCATGTACACTCAGAAAGTGCAACCTTTTATAGGGCACGCAGCAGTTTTTCTTGTCGTATATTTATATACAGGTTTGACTTCAAACGTCAGTACTTTTCGGACACACTTACATAGATGTATTATATTTAAGGGTATAGTATTCATCCCTGAATGGTATCTGCGAGAGGACCATTAAAAGCCTAAGAGCCCTGGAAAGCTGTTTCGTCCTCAGCAGTATGGACACATGAATCCATCTGCGATAGAACCCAAAACCTCCAGGTGGCTGAGCAGCGATTACGTTGCTTACTATCAATACACTGTGTTTGAATCGTTGAGTGTTTTTCCTCACATTCTGCTTGGATTACCGCAGCAGTCATGACTTATAATAAGAACTTCAGAAAATCTTCCTCAAAAGTATGTCAGTAATGAGTACTGGTTAAATCCACATTCCACTCTGATCAACACCTGTTTCGATGGATTCTTCGGGTGACCTTACTGAATATACTCATCAGCACTCAGAACTGGAATTTGTCAACTACGCAAATAAACAGAATGATTGTGGAAACACAAAATTCCATATCACCGGAGAGCAGCTTCACGATACCAGACAGTGCTACTTGGTATTCGTTAGTCACACTGCATCAAGGATGATTACCAATGCCAGTCAATAACTGTATTTCCCAACCTGAAGGCGGCACTCAACTCCGTTGATCGAGGAGTCTTATGGCAATGTCTCTCACTGAAAGGCGTGGTGAGTAAGTAAGTCACCTTATTGAAGTCTCTCTACTCGAACACTTGTGGGCGTGTTAGAGCCTATGGTGAGATACCGGGTAGCTGTACTCGTCAAGGGGTGTCCGTCAAGGCTGCCCACTGTCTCCATTCTTATTCAATTTTACCATAGATATTCTCATGGATGTCTCCATATCGTCACCTGACTACACAGAGGTTGACCTAGTCGCGGGAGAATTTTCGTTAGACCTAGAATACGTAGATGACATAGTCCTGTTAGGTGAAGACGCTGACAAGATGCAGAGTCTTCTGAACACTTTGAACGGCAATTTGAGAATGTTTGGGATGCGTTTCTCACCGCCATCATCATCACCAAATGCAGATTGTTACTCCAGAATCGGTCTTCAGCGGTCCCATGGCTAATGATAGAGAGTGTAGTGGTTGAGTGTGTTGACCACTTCACTTACCTGGGAAGTGGGATCAGTCCTAGTGGCTCAGTTGCCGATGAAATCCCTGCACGAATACAAAAGGCTTGGCTGGCTTTCGCCAACTTACACCACCTTTGGCACCGCCGTGATACTTGATTGTCTGTTAAGGGTCGCGTGTACTACACAGCAATCCGCTCTGTTCTACTGTATGGCTGTGAAACATGGCCACTGAAGGTGGAAGATATGAGAGGGCTTCACGTATTTGACCTCCGTCACCTTCGTCGTATTGTGTGCTGTCACCACGTGAGTAATACAGAAGTCAGGTGTATAGTTTTAGGGAGAAGAGGTAAATCAGTTGACGAGGTTGTGAAGCTTTATCGACTGAGATGGTTGGGACACGTGTTACGTATGCCTAGTCGCCAATTGCCTCGTCACTCTATGTTGACTGAAGTAGGTTCAGGCTGGAAAAGGGCCTGAGGTGGCCAGACTAAAGCATGGCATTAGTGCATGAAGTATTTGACTGTTTGTTTGAACCGTGTCGGGCGATACAGACTGAGTGGTTGAGGTCCGCGGGACAAGAGAAACCAGTGGTTGGAGACGGTATGTTATGGATCATGGCTCAGAACCGAAGTCAGCGGCGCAGATGTCTACACACATTATCCTCATCTTAACGACGCTATACCAAATCTCATCATTTTCTTATTCTTCCTTCCTCTCCTTTCGTACTTTATATTTCTTTAGACTGAATTTTCTTCTCTTCATCTTCCACTTCACTGCCTTTTTACATGATGTAGTGATATGAGCTGTGACAAGTTGGACCCTTACGTAATAATGCATGATCCTATGTTGATAAATGATGACTTGGTGGCTGAGACTGCTTTCGAGTTTAACTTACATTAGTATAGAGAGTGGATTCAGAGGGATATCTACTTTCAGTCACTTTCAAAGTGACATTATCAATGTTCTTTGCCTCTCTGTGTGCCTTTGTATGCTCTAGCGCACGCCAGTATTCGCAAAATCATCCAGAGATATGTGTTTATTAACGTCATGATTTTTTTCTCTCCTTTCCTCTTTATTCATCCCCAAGTCTAGAATGACTCAAATAGAACATAGAAGACGAATAGAACTATGTTTGCTTGTACTGATCTCCATTCTGCTGCTTAGTCTGAGCATACATGTCACTGGCTCCACATCGAAGAAACTCTTTGGTCATGCTAAACTGGAAGGTGGTTATGAGACCAAAGATCAAATTGGTAAGTAAACAATTTTGTTTAAGCATATCAAATGAATTTTTTCAGGTTGATTAAACGCAGCAATGCAGAGTAGGTTGAATGTAAGGTCAGGCAGTTGTAAGTGGCATTGGATGACGGTTGAATTGTGAACATGTTGTTAAATGGCAACATTGCCGCCAGGAGACCTGATGGGTTTGGTTTAACCCCTGCTGGAGTTGTGGGTCTTGTGAGGCAGAGGATTGTCACACCAGGATGAAACAGTGGTATAATGCTCCCAGGCCTTCCAAATGGTTCTCTAACAAGTGTCAGTTAATCACGAATACTATTTCGAAATTTGACTTTTTGATAATCAGGAGGAGTGAGTTGCATAGTGTCCATAAACATGTTATTTATTCAGTCTATCAGTAGCCAAGGGATAAAATGATGGGGCATGTCAGCTGTTGATGTGATTAGGCTTATTATTGCTTCATAGAGTTCACCAATATAAAGGCATTTTCTACACAACGGTGGCCTAAAAATTTATGGGAATGGGATACTTTTCAGTGCCATGAAAGTCTTCGACATAATTTAGAGGTACAACAAAAGGATGACGATTTCCTCCTGAATTCCAGTAGTATAACTAACACCAGGTAAACACCATGAAACAGCGCTTACTTCTAAGGCGCATATTTCAATCGGAGAATATTGCAAAATTTTTAACTCACGACGATTGTCAATCTACGCTTATAATTTCTGATAGGTGGACTTAAGAAGAGGTACGTTGAGATTGTTAAATATCCCAACAGCTTCACAGAATAAAGTAGAATTGATCCTCAAATGTGAAGTAATTTCCTTGGTTGTGTGGTTGGCAACGGAATCCAGGATGCGCGTTTCATTCTGCTTGGGACTCATCAGCCAGGTGTGTCTGCCTCCAAGTGAGACTCCCATCCATCAGCTTCCGCTTTAGTAGCCGAAAAGTAACCCACTAGATCACTCAGTCATGGTAGCCCAGTGGACGACACTGCAGCGTTTGAAGAGTTGGATGTGGAGTTTGACTGTCACTGAGGATAGCGTGATTAAGTAGCATGCAGGCACCTTAGTTGGCAAGTCTCAAACAGGAGGGGACACATGTCCTGGAATCCACTGCTATCCACTAGCCATGAAATTACCAACAAGATCGACGCATTCACACAGGAGCTCATATACCAGCAGTGGCCAATCACTTCAGCATAATCGATGGCAGTCAATCGCAAGCGTTAAACTCTCATCGTATTTCTTGTCTCCATTGTCCAAGATTCATGAAAAACTGAAATCATTCCATGTAATACTCTCAAACAAGCTGCATAATGCATGACCCGAGTGAATAATCAGTTTGACCTTAAAATTTACTTGACAAGCATCCGATGATTAACCTAGAACAACAGGACCATCCGCAGACTAACTATTGATATTAGGCGAAGAATGAAGGTGAAATGAAAATCTGCGTAGAAGTAGGTCATTGTTACGAGGTTACATCGATTGGTGACTGACAGGACAGTAATCAATTTCACGTTGTCTATTCCCGTCAGATTGATTATTCTCTGAATGTTTATGACAGAATAACGCCGATTTTTCCAAAGTGAAATCTGTTTGCCAGTCTGATTTACAACTCCAGAGTCCGTTGGATTAGACTGATAACTCAAGGACTGCTTCGACCGCCAAAACCTGCCATCTTTACTCCTATTTTTCTTACTACTGTTAATAGTATAGTTTTTATTATTAATATTATTAGTCCCTTGGGTTCCTAGTGGAACATAGGGCTTCAGCAGCACGCCTCCAGTGACCTCTGTTCTCTGAGATCTTTTGAACCTGGTTCCACGACAGCCCAGAAGCTCTCATTTCCTCCTCGCACGACCTCCTCCATGTCACCCTCGGACGCCCAACTCGTCGCTTCCCATGGGGATTCCACTCGAGGGACTGACGCGTGATGTCCCCAGTCGGCCTTTTCAGTGTATGCCCAATCCACCTCCACTTCCTCCTGCATATTAGTGGGGCGAAAGGTTCTTGGTTGGTTCGTTCCCAGAGTTCCTTGTTGCTTATTCTTTCCGGCCATCTGATTTTCAGTAGCGAGCGTAAGCAGTTGTTGATGAATGTCTGTAGTTTGTTGGAAATCCCCATCATGACGCGCCAAGTCTCTGAGCCATACAAGAGCACTGACTTTACGTTGGTATTGAAAATCCGTATCTTGTTCCGCATGCTGAGTGCAGAAGATCTCCACACTGGTTTCAGGCTAATGAACGCCTGTCTTGCTTTTCCGATTCTGACTTTGACGTCCTCGTCCGTCCCGCCTGTAGTTGAAACAGTGCTTCCTAGATAAGTGAAGGAGGTTACTTCCTTTAAGTTTCTCCCGTTGACGGTGATTGGAGTTTGTTGTTGTTGTTGTTGATGGTGGTGGTGCGGTATCTTCATCACCTCTATCTTCTCTATATTCACCTGAAGTCCCGTCTTCGCTGCCTCTTCTATCAACTTGTTAGTTTTTGCCTGCAGATCTTCAAGTTTATGTGACATTAGGCATAAGTCATCGGCGAAATCCAAGTCTTCTAGGTTCTTTTCCGTCGTCCAGTGTATCCCCCTCTTCTCGCTGCCTACTGTTTGCTGCATGATCCAGTCCACCACAATCAAGAATATCATGGGTGATGGTAGACAGCCTTGTTTTACTCCTGTCTTCACTTCAAAGGCATCACTGAGCTTCCCATTGTGGATTACTTGGCATGTAGCATCTTCATATAGTTGTTGAATGAGGCGGATAAAGGTTTGCGGTACTCCGTAGTATTGAAGCAGTTTCCAAATTACTTCTCGGTCGACGCTGTCAAAGGCCTTCTCAAAGTCGATGAAGTTGAGGTAGAGAGTTGACTGCCATTCTATGCTCTGTTCTATGATGATGCGAGTGTAGCGTTGCAATTTGGTCTGCACATGATTTGTACTTCCTGAAGCCTGCCTGTTCCGGTCGTAGTTTTGAATCCAGTGCATCCCTTAGCCTCTCCAGGATGATGCGGCTTAATATTTTACTTGGGGTGGATAGGAGAGTGATTCCGCGCCAGTTCTTGCAAGCACTGAGGTCTCCCTTCTTCGGCAGTTTGACAAGGTAACCCTTCTTCCAATCGTCAGGTACCTCCTCTTCCCTCCACACCTTCTGCAATAGTGGTGTGAGCATGTCCGCTGTTGTCTCTGCATCTGTTCTCAGTGCTTCTGGCGGTATTCCATCTGGTCCTGCTGCTTTCCCGCATTTCAGTAGCTTTATGGCGTTCAGGACTTCCATTTTCGTTGGGGGATTAATGTTCACTTGTAATTCAGCGGCTGCAGGTGGTATTTCTGGACGAAGTGCAGGTGGTGGTCGATTCAAGAGCTTCTTGAAGTGGTCGGCCCATTGTTTCCTCTGTTTCTCTTCTTTCGTAATTAAATTTCCGTCATCATCTTTTATTCGTTTCATCTGAGTTGATCTCTTCCCTGATAGCAACCTGGTTATTTGATACAATGTCGTCAGGTCTCTCTTACCTGCAGCCTGTTCTGCTTCACTTTTCAGTGTTTCGTAGAAGTGTCTTTTGTCTTTCCGTGCACTCTTCTTCACTTCTTTGTCCAGTGTAGTGTTTTATACATTGTACTCAGTTCCTCTTGTCTTTGAGCATCCTTGCACTGGTTTATCTTCTGCTTCACCATCCTCCTCTCCTCTATCAGCTTCCAGGTATCCGTCGAGATCCATTCCTTGTCTTCCACCTTCTTCCTTCCTAATACTGTTGTGCAGGTTTCTTTCCACATAGCTTTCAAAGACTTCCAGTGTTCTTCCACACAGGTTTCTTCAGGGATGTTGCTCGATGTCTCCCATTTTGTCTTGATGGCTGGCTGCCGTGAAGATTTCCTTTGTAGTTTCGTCCTTCAGCTTCTGTTCCGAGTGTTGTACTTGAATTGAGGTCTATCACCAGCTTCCTTGAAGGCTTTTAACTTGATTTGGAAGGTTCCTTGCACTAGGTAGTGGTCTGAACCTACATCTGCTCCTCTTCTTGACCTTGTGTTAAGTAGACTGCGTCTCCATTTTCTTGAGATTGAGATAAAGTCGATTTGATTTTTAGTGTGTCCATCTGGTGAAATCCATGTCGCTTTGTGGATATCTTTGTGCCTGAACACACTGCCTCCAATCACCAAATCGTTGAATGCACAGAATTCTGCAAACAATTCTCCATTCTCATTCATTTCACCTAGTGCCTCTCGACCCATGGTTAGTTCTCTTCCCGTGTTGTCCCCTCCCAGTTTGGCATTCATGTCGCCCATCAGAATTTTGATATCGCCAACTGACGTCTTGTCCAGTGTTGACTGAAGTTGTCTGTAGAAATCCTCCTTTTTCTCTTGCTCTGCATTATTTGTAGGTGCATAACATTGTATGATTGTGACCTTTCTTCCTTTTGAGTTGAATCTTGCTGTCATGATCCTGGAGGAGATTGGTTCCCACTGCATGAGAGCCTTCGATGCTCTTGAGGACATCATGATAGCCACTCCATAACTCAGTGTGCTGTGCTCTTGATTGTCGTCTGGGTGACCGGAGTAGATTATTGATTCTCCAGTTGACAGTTTGGAGAGTCCACTCCCATTCCATCTGCTTTCGCAAATCCCAAGCACTTCGATGTGATACCTTCTCATCTCCTTTGCAATCTGGGCTGCCTTACTGGGTTCAAACATCGTGCGGACATTCCATGTCCCCACGTTTACTTTCGCTTTCATCGAGAGAAGACACATCGGCCAATTGGCTTCCCGAAGGCTTTCACCAACTGGCGTCATTTCGCCTCTCCGATTCCAGCGGGGAATAAGTTTGTTTTCATTTTTTATATTTTGTTTGTGCTTTGAAGTTTGTTTAGCGGTTAGATTTGTTTTACGGGGTAGGGTTGCTAGCCCTATGCCCAACCTTCCCTCTTTACCCGGGCTTAGGACCGGCTAGTAACTAGTAAACTAGTTAACCAGGCGAGGTTAGTATAGTTTAAAACACAAAAATATTGTCAATCAGACTAGATGGGACTGATGTAATTTAATAGACTGGTACTATTGAAAGAGTTTGATGATTGAAGGTGACATGAAAATTTGGTATGCTGCAGGATTAGAACCAAAGCGAAACCGACCAAATCCAAAACTTTCCTTCACCAGATTAAAGATTGAAGTATTTCAACGGTATTCTGTAGAAGTGGGTATTTTTTTACAATATTTAATCCTGAATTCAAATTGGCATACTTCATGAGCTGAGATCATTTTTAGGATCATTAAAAACATGGAAGCACTGTTCAGCTGTTTCTTCCTAGTCCCGGACTCCTCACAAGTCCTTATCCACAACTGCAAAAGGAAGTGAACCTAGCTCAGTTAGGTTTCATGATTAAAAAAATCCCTATTTAACGACTAGTTTGGAATAACCGGCTAGTGTTCACTGGTTAAATTCTTGGAGATGAATTTCTTGAAGTTAACATGCGAAACTGTGACCTTTGGGGTTATCCAGGTTGGGATATGAGGACTAATACACGCCCATAGAGTTGGGTGGTTGCCGCAAGTCGACAGAAGTAGTTAAATGTGAAGTGTTGGATCCCAACTTAGTGGCTCAATGTTAACTTACTCACTGTAGAACTTGAACGCCTTGGATTAGACCCAAGACAGGGTTGCGTATACGCCCTCCTTGTGAGCGTCCTACCGGCAGGAATCACATGTCCACCACTTCCGGGCTTAAAAAGCTCCTCTAATCGATGTCAGTCAACTAGGAATACCACCTTGAAGTCAACAAACCTCCCAATTGAACACTCTTGAGTGTTAAGTACTGCCTATAACAATAATGAGATGGAGCTAAAAACAACTGCTATATGATAGCTTACAATGAGTTTACACTCGTATCCTAAATTTTCTCTGAGATCACAGAAGACAAGAGCTGAATTCTGATACTGAACTCAAGCTTACCGCTTTCTCTACTTGGATTTCTTAGAATAGATATGATTCTTAAAACCAAAACTCCCCCTCACTTCTCGTGAATGATAAACAATCGTCATAGAATAGTAGAATGGTTTCACAAAGACATGCCGTAGCCCACACAGTAATCAAATCATGCTTAGATTGCCCAACAACTTTGATTTTTTATAGGAGCAAGCCTAAATGGAAACCAACATATTAAGTTATCAGCCGCTAAAATAGGTGCTTTATCATTTCAACCTTTATTTCTTGTTGCTGTGTGGCCAGGAAAAGCTTTATTGGACAATCCAGCATACAGTTGACGAATTAGAATAAGTTATTCAAATGTTGACCTCGTGATTTGATATGCTCATGAAAACTGTTGTATGTAAATGACGTATTTTTTTGAATAAATTGTCTTTCTTACAGTCACACACCATTACTTATCTGCATATATTTTCATGGCCCGGTGAAGCATGAGGTAGGTACTGAAGGAGAACAATGGCTATTCATATCCACTCCAAATGTCTTATTGCGTTAATATCGTTCGCGTACTCCATATAATTCACCCAGTCACTTCAACTTCACACTGTATCACATTCATGTCTTTCTTCTTTTTATAATTCTAGGTCCTCTGCCGATATTCTTATACTCAAGGACACTGCAAGCAGATGATCTTATCGATGTGTTGGAAGAATTGAAGAATTATGTAGCGCGTTATGACCATCAAATTGTATGTGGTGATATGAAACCGAAAGATGATGTCTGTAGAATGGCCATGAACCAACTCGCCTTGAAATATTTTCACGCTGCTCTTAATGCCACAACACAGATGAGACTAAAATCGTATGTTTGGAGACAAACATATAGTGATCGGCTTTACGGCGTAATGTTGATACTTGATCCGAAACAAGATGATGAGCAAGATGAAATGCGACAAGTAAGAAAAGTAAAATGTTTCTGATATACATGTGAAATGGATCTGTGATGTCTGGAAGGATGTTAGGAGGTGAATTGGTAATTTGAAGTGGTTCTCAGTGACTTTTAGATTTAGCACTGGAATGCAAGATACAGGTTTCGTACCATTTGTGACTAGTCAGTTAGATGTACCCCAATGACTTATGGTGTTTCTCAATGGAACTGAATCCCAGCAGTAAACGCTTCGAACTCCAGAAAATCAGAATTGGATCAGTTTGGTGTAGTATAATGGCGGAAACACGGCAGTGTCAAAAGACAATTAACTGATAGTCATAAGAAATGAGGTGGTTCTTGTGTTTCAGGTGCCTGGTGGACAAAACTAGTGTTTGAGTGGATGGTAAGGGGTTTAAGTGTCATTGGGAACAGCACTACTCACTGGGATACAAGTAATTCCAGTGGACCAGTCTGAAATAGGACGAAACGTACATTCTACATTCTACTGCTAGGAACCATAAAGTGAATGATGACATCATTAGTATTTAACCAATATCTAGGTATCTTCATAGGAGTCCGTATGCTAGCAGTAGTTAATCAGTCCAATCCAGTGTGACAATGGGAAATTGTAAGTCTCATTTAACAAAATTTACTGACTTCTGGATTAGCACAAGGTATTCATAGATCCTCAGAAAATAGTAGTAGATATTTTGGTCACTGGAGAGCAACCAATGTGATGATGTTCGATCGTGAGTGCTGACCGAATTTTAGTGTTCATTTTTGATGCAGTCATCAGTCTAGGATACTCAACATTGCTGTGCACTTTGATGGATGTTAGTTGGTTGGTAGCAATCGGCAGGAAGCCTTGCTCAACCTGGTTTTCGCGCCTATTGGGACTTGTCAGAAAGGCGTCCCTTCAACCTTAAGGGAACTAATGTCCCCTCTAACATGCTAAACCACATCACCAAGTGCTGCAGTCAGAGACGTTACCCCTGAGCTATTCGGGTCATGAATGACCTGTTGTAGGACTGGTTTAAGTGTATGAGGTTACCACTGACCTTGGTTAGAACCTATTTCTACTTTCTGTAACCATTTTACAAAGTCTTCACTACATGTAGGACTGATTCGACGGCTGTATAGTGCTTGAGTAGAGAAAGAACAATAATCGGAGCAGAACATAATGTTACCATTTGATTTCCTTAGCCACTCATCAGCTGCTTACAACACTAATCACATTTGATTATCATATCGCAAAGTAATAAAGACATGCATTTTGCAGTTAAAAGAAGTTTAGTTAACAGAAACCGACATGGCATGGTAAAGAGTACAAACACTGAAATAAAGTTAACGTTTAAGTTGCATATATGCTACAACAAAGAGTTCCAGAAAATGTACTTGGAATAGTAGTAAATGATTACAAAATGAGATCAACAAACTAGTTAGTTGATGATAAATAGGGAACAGATTGTGTAATAGTGTACTAACTTTGATTCATCTGGTTCAACAATCATCAAAATTTTGGACAAACTAAGAAGTGTCTCAGTCAAACGATGATGCCATCATTAGGTAAGAGAAATATTAGAATATTGGATTTCCAGGGGAAAGAAAGACTTATCACTGCCTCTCTTCAAATATACAACTAGCTGTCCAGTAGTTTGGTTCCTACACTCTCAGTGAACTTCTGAGTGTTTGAATTACGCTGTTTACTGACTGCTTTAAAAGAATGATTTGAAGGCATCTACAATTGTTGTTAGCTGTTGAATCAACTTTATAAACTTGAATATGTGTGAGATGTCTGTCTAGTGGTTGTTATGTAATCCGATGTCGAAGGCTTCTCTTGCATGATATCAACCAACCAGTGATTGGAACTAATTAACTGCCTTAAAACTAAACATATTTCCCTACTGAAACAAACGAACCAACCAATAATTCAGTAAACTTGAATACAGTATTTCGCGTTTAACAGTTTAAACACTCACAAAGCAAGTGAAATGGTTTACAAGAATAAATCATTGATATTGAGTGACAATTCTTTTCGTAACTCTACGAAACAATAAGAAGACATAAATTGTCTGAAACGTGTAATGTATTTGTGACACAAATTCCGAACTATCTGATCACACATGTACGAGTGGGGCTAAAAGTTATCCCCGGATGCCATGGTATTCTGTGTAAAACTTGTATTTTCTGTGCTTTATAAGCTTATATTTTGAGTGGAAAACTTCAGTCGTAAATTATTTTTGTTGCTATTCAAAGAATGAATTGACCTACTTTGATATGTGGGCATCATTCTACATAAATAAATGTATTTATATCCCTACAAGGAGGTAGATGGGCAACCAATACTTTGCACATGGATAAACGGCATGAAATATAATTCAGTGGCAGAGGAAGTTTTAAAAACTATACACAAAGGTACAATACACATATAGCACAACCTCATCTAGGTAACTGGTTCACTAGTTACTAGACGGTCCAAACCCAGCATGAAGAGGGAAGGTTGGATATATGTCTAGCAGCCCTACCCCGGAAAAACAATTCAGTCGCTAAACAAACTTCAAAGCACAAAGAAAATATTAAAACATAATGTTAAACGTATTCCTCGCTGGAATCGGATAGATGAAATAACGCCAGTTGGTGAAAGCCTTCGGGAAGCCAATTGACCGATGTGTCTTCGCCTCTCTCGATGAAAGCGAAAGTAAGAATGGGGACATGGAATATCCGAACAATATTTGAAGCTGGCTGGCAAGGCTGCACAGATTGTAAAAGAGATGAGAAGGTGTGACATTGAAGTGCCAGGCTGGGAATCTGCGAAAGTAGATGGAATGGAAATGGACTCTCCAAACTGCCAACTGGAGAGTCAGTAATCTACTCCGATATTCTCACCCAGACAACAACCACGAGCACACTGAGCTTTCGAGTGGCTATCATGATGTCTCCAAGAACATCGAGGGCTCTCTTTCATGCAGTGGGAACCAATCTCCTTCTGCAGGATCAGGATCATGACAACAAGATTCAAATCAAAAGGAAGGAAAGTCACAATCATACAATGCTACGCTACACACCTACAAATAATGCAGATCAAGAGAGGAGGGAGGAATTCTACAGACAACTACAATCAGTAATGGACAAGACCACACCCCAGTTGGCGATGGCGACATCAAAATTCATTCTAATGTGTGGGGTGACATGAATGCCAAACTGGGAGCTGACAACACAGGAACAGAACTCATCGTGGGTCGAGAGGCACTCGGTGAAATGAATGAGAATGGAGCACTCTTTGCAGACTTCTGCGCATTCAACGATTTGGTGATTGGAGTCAGGCAGTGTGTACAAACACAAGCATATTCACAGGGCAGTGACATGGATTTCACCAGATGGACACACTACACTAAAAATCAGATCGACTTTATCTCAATCTCAAGAAAATGGAGACTTAGTCTACTTGATGCAAGGTCAAGAAGAGGAGCAGATGTAGGTTCATACCACTCACTATCTAGTGCAAGGAACCTTGAAAATCAAGTTAAAAGCCTTCAAGGAAGCTGGTGATAGACCTCAATTCAAGTACAACACTCGGAACAGAAGCTGAAGGACGAAACTACAAAGGAAATCTTCACGGCAGCCAGCCATCAGAACAAAATGGGAGACATTGAGCAACATTCCTGAAGGATCGGGCGTGGAAGAACACTGAAACTCTTTGAAAGCTATGTGGAAAGAAACCTGCATAACCGCATTAGGAAGGAAGAGGGAATAAGACAAGGAACACGTCTCCACGGACACATGGGAGCTGATAGAGCAGGGAGAGAAAGAGGGTGAAGCAGAAGATGAACAAGTGCAATGCAGTGCAGTGCAGTGCGGGGATGAACAACAAAAAGAGGAACTAAACACAACCTATAAAACACTACACTGGACAAAGAAGTGAAGAAGAGTGCGCGCAAAGACAAAAGACACTTCTGCGACACACTGGCAGGTGAAGCACAACACGCTGCAGGTAGGAGAGACAGACACCTGACAACACTATATCAAATAACCAGGTTACTATCTGGGAGGGAAGAGATCAACGCAGACGAAACCAATGAAAGATAGTGAAGGAAACCTAGTTATTATCACCAAAGAGGAGAAACAAAGGAAATGATGGGCTGATCACTTCAAAAAGCTCTTGAATCGACCACCAACACCACCTGCAACTCGTCCAGAAATACCATCAGCATCCCAACCACAGAACAACCAGTGAACACAAGCCCTCCGACTAAAGCAGAAGTCCTGAATACCACGAAGGAGCTGAAATCCGGGAGAGCAGCAGGACCAGATGGAATTCCGCCAGAAGCACTGAGAGCAGACACAGAGACAACAACGGACACGCGCACACCACTATTGCTGAAGGTCTTCAAGGAAGGAAGGAAGGAAGGAAGGAAGGAAGGAAGGAAGGAAAGGTACCTGCCAACTGATTGGAAGAAGGGCTACCTTATCAGTGGACTCCTGAAGAAGGGAGACCTCAGTCTTAGTAACAACTGGCACGGAATCATGCTCCATCCTTGTCCACTTAATGCAAAATATTAAGCCGCATCAACCTGGACAGACTAGAAGATGCTCTCAATCAAAAATTACGACCGGAACAGGCTGGATTCAGGAAGTACAAATCATGTGCGGATCAAATTGCAACGATACGTTATGCATCATCGCAGAACAGAGTATAGAATGGCAGTCAACTCTCTACCTCAACTTCATCAATTTCGAAAAGGCCTTAGACAATGTCGACTGAGAAGTGATTCTGCTGCCGTTTCAACACTACGGAGTGCCACAAACCTTTATCAACCTCATCCAATAGCTATATGCAGTATGTTGCTACATGCCTAGTGATTCACAATGGAATGCTCAGAGACGCCTTTGAGGTGAAGACAGAGAGGAGTAAGGCAGGGCTTGCCGCCTACTATCACCGATGATCTTCCTGATTGTGGTCGACTGGATCATGCAGCTAACTGTTAGGAGCAAGAACAGTGTCATACGCTGTCTGAACGATGAATGGAC